TGAAATGCAAACACAACAGGCCACATTCAAAATACAATGCAAAGTTAAGCTAACACCAGCAGAAATGGTACTTGTCATTTTAACAGATACAAGTTTTAAGTGTGTCTTTATAGTTTTACTAAGTTTTGGTCAGATGAACTCCCAAAAAAGTATCAACGTTGAAAGTAATTTATAAAGAATCATTCTTTGAAATGGATTGTAACACTAAAGTTTAATACTTTTCTAGTCTGTTTCTTGGTGCATTCCATTTCAACTTGATGATACAGAACTGGAAAAGCTTCTTGTATATGTCTTCAAGCACTCTATGTGATGTTAAAGCACAGTTCTTGGGTTTAGAAATTTTCAGGATTATTGATGTATAAAAGCTATCTTTAAGCATTCTATTTCCCCATTACTACTGAATGACTCTGCTAGTGCTTAAAACCACTTTCCTTCTTAGTTGGAAAGCTAAGATGGAAAACAGAGCGTAGTGCTTATAAAGAAAGAAAATGCAGTCTAGGATATATGTCCTCCTATTCTTTTAGTTCAAAGATAAAATCAGAAACCAATTGGCATTGTTACATATAATATTTTGTCGTTTAGCAGATGACACCTAAAGATAGAAATCATTTTAGTACTGAAGAGTAAGTTTTTGTTTTCTCCATTTGGTTCTTTCTTTTTTTTTTTTGAGACAGAGTTTCGCTGTTGTTACCCAGACTGGAGTGCAATGGCACGATCTCGGCCCACCGCAACCTCCGTCTTCTAGGTTCAAGCAATTCTCCTGCCTCAGCCTCCCAAGTAGCTGGGACTACAGGCATGTGCCACCCTGCCCAGCTAATTTATGTATTTTTAGTAGAGACGGGGTTTCACCATGTTGACCAGGATGGTCTTGATGTCTTAACCTTGTGATCTACCCGCCTCGGCCTCCCAAAGTGCTGGGATTACAGGCGTGAGCCACTGCGCCCGGCCCCATTTGGTTCTTTCATAAGCTCTTTCCTACTTATTTTCTTCAAGATTTTCCTCCTGTCTTGCCAGAACAGGACTTGAAATACAAATGAAAATGAATGAAGAGGGAGAAATACTTCTGAAACTCTACAGTGAAGCCAAGGAGTTTTCACTGTGTTTGGGGGTGCTCATCTCACATTTGTCTGTTCATGAGTCCTGAGGCTTGAAATACTCTGCTAAGAGACATTACAGAAAAAGTAGCCTCTTAACAGCAGGCTTCTCCATGTTTTCTCGCACATAATAGGTTTTAAATGGCCCAAGTTAGGCCACAACTACAGAAAAGGGCTCTAAATGTTTCAGTTTTCATTTCAGCTATGTGGCCACCTAACAAAATGTGTTTCTTCTTCTGTAAAGTGAGACTGAATACACCCAAAGGCCTGGTTCCTAATGGGAATCCATATGTAATTATGTCTGTGTCCATGAATCCCCCAGAAATTGTTTTCAAAATCCTGTGCACACATCTGGGGAGCAATTCCATAGCTTTCATCCAGCTCTCAAAGGGGTACATTAATACAAGAGTCAAAGAGTCACTGTGCCAATATCTATCTGTTCCAGCCCTTATACCAGGAAGCCACAGGATAAAGGCCAAAGCACATGGCCTTAAAATATTGCCTGGGACAAGTCACTTCCTGTCTGTGAAAATGTATATACTAATAACCTGCTTCACAGTAAGCTGATGAAGAATAGATAAATGGAATGTTGACCACAAATTCCTAATTCATAAAAGTTACTTCCATTGTGGCAAGAAGACAAAAAGCATTTAAGAAATACACTATGTGCACATTTAACAATGAAGGTTCCCAGACACTAAGGAACTGCATCTGCTCAAACAGCTTGCAAGTATCAGGTCAGGCACTCCACTCTCTGTCCTTTTCACATCCCACATGAGAAGAACACAACAGGCCACATTCAAAACACAATGCAAATGCAAGCCTAACACCAGTCTGGTACTCAGGCTTGGGCCCACCAAAGAAGAAATAAAGACATAATGATACCTTATGGTGACATCAACGTTTAGAAACAAAGGGATTTAAAATTACCAAGTGACCCTTTTGGGGTCTACAACACTTACCAGACCTTAAGAAAGCAGAAGACGAGGAGATGACTGCATCAGGTGAGCAGGCCATTTCAAATTGTTGGCTCTAATCATAAGCGTCCCAGGCTAAGCTACAGCAATTTTAAAACTGTTTAGTGAAGGTTAGAAGCAATCAGTGTTAAATTAATTGAAAGCAGTGTGAGCAGTTATTAACATGATGCAGTGCGCAACAAAGGCAGTAACTAAGGATCATTATAATTTTATTTTCTCTTTTATGACTTGAAAATGTGATTTTCTTCGCTTTGATAAATTACACTTGCTCATATGGATGAGGCAGGAACTATATAATATCCACTTATTAAACATTATATAAAAGTAGTATCCTCTATTGTGCAGTGAAGTAATTATGCTACTATGTAACAATGCTCAGAACTCTGTGGGGAGGACTCTACACCAGAGTCAGGTTTGTGTTTTGAACAAAGCTCTGTTTATATATTCTTCTAAAAGTAACAAACAGAATCAAGTTGATTGTTCTTAACCTCATAGGAAGTTATTAACTCAAGAGTTATGAACTTTATCATCTGTACTTCACAGAGTTATAAGAATGTGAAACCTGAAATTTGACTATTAATTTGGAGGAATGACTTCAACTGGCATCTCTGTTTACTACTACAATGTAAACACATAGGAACATTCAACATTGATACTATGCACTTTGCACATGACACTGGATTTATACAACTGCATTCAACAACAGTTCACGCTAGAATTCTTTTTCTCAGCTAAGAAAAGAGAAATAGGGTTTTCAAAGCTTACTGTTATGACATGCATTTCAGAGGAAACAAAGACTGATGAAGAAAATGAACTCTATGTGCTTAGGAAGGGAAAAGAGAAATGTTGCAAAAATATATGTTGGGGGCAGTACTCAGGTCCCTGTAAGAAAACTCTGGTTACTTTCTTTGTTCAGACATAACCAATCCAATAACACTTTTTATAGCCAGATAGCCACATTGTTAGTAGCCAACTCAAAATCCTATATGACACCAAAAAAAAATTTAAGAAAAAGTATGAAACAAATATATGTGACTATTCCAAGTCACTTTATTGATTCTCAGTAGTACTAAGAACAACTTTTTGAAAAAATTATCTCATATTTCATAGTTGGTAATTTTACTATTACCCTAAATAAAACAGAACTTTTTGTAAGGTATAAAAAACAGAATGAAATTGGCAATAAAGGTTAGGCGCATGATTTCTGAAATTAGATTTTCAGAAATTAGATTACTTTCTCCAAATTAAAAAAAAAAAAAAAGTTAGTGTGTACAACAGACAACCAAGAACTTCATAAATGGGAAAAGCCCAAAATATAAGGGGCATATATTAGCTGAGAAAATAATTTTATTTTAATTTTTCTGAGATGGAGTCTCACTGTCGCCCAGGCTGGAGTGCAATGGTGCGACCTCTACTCACTGCATTCTCCGCCTCCTGGATTCAAGCGATTCTCCTGCCTTAGCATTCTCCTGCCTCAGCCTCCCAAGTAGCTAGGATTACAGGCGCGTGCCATCACACCCAGCTAATTTTTGTATTTTTAATAAAGACAGGGTTTCACCATGTTGGCCAGGCTAATCTCAAACTCCTGACCTCAGGTGATCCGCCCTCCTTGGCCTCCCAAAGTGCTGGGATTACAGGCATGAGCCACCGTGCCCAGACGAAAATAATTTCTTAATATCAATGCAAGTGCAAAGTGAATTTTCTTAGCTAATGCCTTTCACATCCCCTAATAATGACATAGTTGGTCAATTCTTTCAAAGGGAAGCTTCTTAGTTGACAATCTGCGTTCTACCTTCCACCTTTCCCGTTTAAGTGCATGCTTTTTGCTTAAGATTATCTCCAGCCAGCCAGGAAATACGGGAAGTTTTCATCCTGGCTTTTAGAGGAGTTTTCAGCCACAAGTGCTGATAACTCCACAAGTCATGACGCTGCAATTTTAACAAGTCAGTTCGGGGCACTTGGAACTGTTCAAACTGCCTGCAAGTCACCTTCTGACCTCCAGGCTCTCGGGCTTGGAAAATCTGGGTCCACTTGCCTAAGGATGGAGCCCTTCTCCTTAGGAGCCCTTCTCCTTCTGAGCCCTAACTATGCACTTCATGACCTGAGGCCCAGTCTCCTTCAGTTTCTGCTACACAGATAACAGGTCTACTGCTTAGAACCCGTGGGGAATGTAAAAGGGATATAAGACATAAGGTAAGGAGCAGCCGCCGCCTCTCTGCAGCCAGAACGTAGCTACAACATCTGACTTGATCTGATTAAGCTATTTGACTTGTACGGAGAACACTCACAGGGAGGGCACACTCCCTTTCCCAGGACTATACTGTCGCCTGATTTCTAAGTTAGAAGACTCTAAGGGTGGTCAGGACCGCTACCTACTTTCCGAGTGGGGATCACAAGCGGAAAAGAGTTGGGGGCACACATAGAGTGGATTTGGCACCGCCACCTAATTTTTAGAGGTGGAAGAAGATAGAAGCAAGGCCGGGGCCGCCACCTGCTTTCTAAGGGGAACTCGGGGCACAGGTTCATTCCCAGGACTCCCACCTGCCTCCCGCAAAGGTGCTTCAGAAGAAGCACCACCCAAGGTGCTCGAGTAGGGGGGCGGCGCCCCAGTCAGCCAAACCTGAGCGCTTGGTCCGAGCTCTTCGCTCCAAGACCTTCCAGCTCACTTCGGCCATAAGCCCGGCCGCCCCCGCCATCGCGCTCCAGCACCCGCCTTGGCCGCCGCCCCCAGGGCAGCCTGTCAGCAGTGCCCACTCGGCCACGCCCCCTGCACGACACTGTCGGGAGGCGCGCCTGCCGGAAGTGAGCGTGAGGAAGACTTTCACCCTAGCTCCACGGCCTTTTTATCGTCGGAAGGACTGCTCTAGAGGGAGAGAGAAAAAGGAGCCGGCAGCGGCTTCTACGCTTTCCCGGGCTGCGCGCCTACTCTCTCCGCTGGTGGCGCGGTGCTTTGCGGCTGCCGTCAAGCGCGGCGCTGGGCGGGCGGGCGGGAGCCGAGGGGCTGCCATGGCGGCGGCGGGCCGGCTGCCGAGCTCCTGGGCGCTGTTGGCGCCGCTCCTTGCTGGGCTTGCACTGCTGGGAGTCGGGCCGGTCCCAGCGCGGGCGCTGCACAACGTTACGGCCGAGCTCTTTGGGGCTGAGGCCTGGGGCACCCTTGCGGCTTTCGGGGACCTCAACTCCGACAAGCAGACGGACCTCTTCGTGCTGCGGGAAAGTCAGTGTTTGCCGGGCCCTCCCTCTGTTCGCTGTCTGTGTGCCCCTCCCGGTGTTCCCCAAACCCATTGCCCAATGGCCGGTCCTTCTGCATTTCCTGGTCCTTCTCTCCCAGCCCTGTGGCCCTCCCTTTAGCATTCTTAACAGATTGTCCTTTTGCACCACCCTTTCCAACCCCAGGTTCTGACCCAGCCACCCTACAGTTTTACCTACCCCCAAAAGCCCTAACAGCACCCCAGGTTTTTTCCTAAGAAGTCTGCGGTCTTTACCCACTCATCCTACCCTCTTGTCCCCATGGAATCACCTGCCTTCCAAAGTGCTTCCTGATTCCCAGGAATCTTTGTAGCTTGCCTCAACGTTCGCTCCCAAGGCCCTCTCCTTTCTGTTTTGCTTCAGTCTTCCTTCCCCATTGATGAACAGGAAAAGGTGCAACTTGACAATTTCTTCTCATAGGGGTCTTCTCCTTGCCTCCCCACCTACCTAATTCACCACCCCTCTCTGTCAAGGCCACAGCTTTCTTTGAAGTGAATGTGCCCTCAAGGGCCTAAACTCTAAACAGCTCACACAAGCATTTTGGAAGGACCACTGATAAACCCAATGCCTCCTTGGGAAAGCATTCTCAAACTACAGAAATATCTCTCTTGAGCTGCCTTTCTATCGTGTACACCTTCCTCACCTTGGTCATCACCTTAGTGTTCCAAATCTCTACTTTCTTTGCTAACATGTTCTTGGAAATTCTTTGCTTTAGCCATCATTTACAAAAAACTAACTTTTCAATAAATTTTGATGCTGACAGTGGGCATAGTTTGGGGGGGGGTCCTTACCTTTCTTGAGTACCCACAGAAGCAGATGTGGCTTCAAGATCAATGCCATGAAGGAAGGAAGTGAAGAGCTACTCAGAGCTTGCCTGACAGGATCTTGATCCAGACTTGTGGCCCTTGCCAGGATGCAGAGCCTTTTACAGACTCTGAATTCAATTTTCCCAATCTTTTTGACTTCTTATTTTGCAATGTACTGCCAAACCTGTTGCTACTCTGTCCAAACTGGATACAGAGAGTGGCCTTGACTTTAAAGATGGCCTGTGTTTGATTAAGCAGTTCCCAAAGTCTGTCTCAATGAGTGCTAATTGAGCTCCAGGAATGTATCAGCCTCTGGAGGATGGTTACATAGGTGGAGGGTCTTGGAGGATTCAGATTTTCTCCTTACATGCTTAATTATGTCCATGTTGTCAGATATCTACAATGGGAGTTCCTGCATCCTTGGGGTCATGCATCTATGTAATGAACCAAACAGCCTTACAAGGGACAGCATTGCTAGATTCAGGGAAGACAAGTTTTGGCATGTAGTATAGTTATAAAGCATCGTCTTTATATGGTTCTTTTGAGTCAACCAGTCTGACTTCTTGCAGAATCTACTGGCTTCAGTTTCTCTTGATTAACTGCTTTTTCCTATGTTCCTCCTTTCTGTTCCTCTGCTGCTTTGGACATTGAACTTGTGACATAATATTAGGCATCCCCATTGGACTAGTGGGACTGTCCTTGAGAGGCAGATGAACTGGAGCAGAATAAGTTTTCTTGTTAAGAACAGTGCTCAGAAACCTTGTAACCCGATTGGGTATCTTACCAAGAAACATTTGTCTAATATATATTTGTTTCCTTCAGGAAATGACTTAATCGTCTTTTTGGCAGACCAGAATGCACCCTATTTTAAACCCAAAGTCAAGATATCTTTCAAGTAAGTACATATATGATCACTTTGATAAAACAGTCGTTAATGTAATAATAGATATGCAGTTGCTGGTTAGATTGTCTTTAATTAGTCAGTCTTACCTGTGTTGTTGGGATGCAAAACCACTAGTTGCGAGGCCTGAGTAGCAAGTGATTTGTTTGGAAAAATAGTGAAAATACCAAAGTTTAAAAATGACTTAAATAAAATTTGAGTGGATCCAGGTTTGTTTGTATATATAAACACCCTTTATTTCCTTGCAATCTCATATCCTTTCTTGATTGTGTCTCAATCTGTGCCTCATCTTGACGGAGCAGTCACTCACAGGAGTCTCATTATGATGGCAATGTATTTTGTGGAAGAAGGGCCTATTTTGCAGTGGGGAAAAATTCAGTGTTCTAATTTTTTTGTTTAACTGACTGATGGATGGTGAGTTTTTAAGGTTGACTTGGAAGGATCAAGTTTTTTTAATTATCTGAATGTTTAAAATGTTCAAGTAATAGTTATTATATTTCTTTTCTGTGGTTGGCATTGCGTGAAACAGTGACCACCCCCGCACCTCTACCTCCATGATAGTGACACAACAGAGTTGTGAAACTACAAGAAGCAAGCATTTGTGGCTGTCTGAATTCAAGCAGGAAAAGATGGGTCAGTGCAGGCCAAAGCGGGGGCTTCCAGAGTCATAGACTTGAGTTTGACCTTAGTATAAGTAAAAAGTTAGATGAAGATGTTCACTTTGGGGACCGAGCATTTATGAGAGCTAAAAGTAAGAGCAGCGCTGGGCGCAGTGGCTCACACCTGTAATCCCGGCACTTTGGGAGGCCGAGGCAGATGGATTACGAGGTCAAGAGATCAAGACCATGCTGGTCAACATGGTGAAACCCTGTCTCTACTAAAAATACAAAAAATTAGCTGGGCATGATGGCACATGCCTGTAATCCCAGCTACTCAGGAGGCTGAGGCAGGAGAATTGCCTGAACCCAGGAGGCAGAGGTTGTGGTGAGCCGAGATCACGCCATTGCACTCCAGCCTGGGTAACAAGAGCAAAACTCTGTCTCAAAAAAAAAAAAAAAAAAAAAATAAGAGCAGCATGTTATGAAGAGGAAGTAGAAAGATCTGCCTAACAAAAGTGGAAGGTACACTTTGGGAAGTTAAGGACTAAGAACAAGAGATAAGAAGGCTAGACTAGGAGCCTTCAGAAATTCCAAAAAGAGTTTGAACAAAGTTTTATTTAGAAGAGGGTCCTTGTGCAAAGGAGAGATGATGAAAACAGTATTTTAAGTTGATTTACTGGTGAAGCATATGCAGAATGAATTAGTTTGTAGAAGATTAAAGACTACTTAGAAAACTGTTTTTAAAAAGTCCCTGTGTGGGCTAATTAGTTCTCAGACTCTACAGTATTTTATGTAAACTTAAACTCAAGTTAAAAAAAAAAAATGGCCTTTAAGTAGAACTTTGAGGGGAAAGTTATAAATGGATAAATAGGAACTTAATTTCCTTGAGAAATGTTTCTGGGTGGTGACTGTCAGCAGGCTAGGAGTGGAGAAGAAACTGAAGTTGATCAGTGTATATAAGAAGTGAGCTAAGTGCCTAGAGGTGATTTCCCCCCCCCCCCCCCCCCCCCCGCTGATTAGAAATTAAGGAAATTTAAAGGATGTAAAAGGCATGTATTCTGATAAGTTAAAACAAATATCCCTTTTTTTTTTGTTTGTTTGTTTTTGTTTTTTGAGGTGGAGTGTGACTCTGTCACCAGGCTGGAGTACAGTGGCGTAATCTTGGCTCACTGCAACTTCCACCTCCCGGGTTCAAGCAATTCTCCTGCCTCAGCCTCCCGAGTAGCTGGGACTACCGGTGCAATACCACGCCCAGCTAATTTTTGTATTTTTAGTATGGACAGATTTCATTGTGTTGGCCATGATGGTCTCGGTCTCTTGACGTTGTGATCCACGCACCTCAGCCTCCCATAGTGCTGGGATTACGGACATGAGCCACTGTACCTTGCCCCGGTTAATTTTTTTATTAATCCAGTGTACTTTCAAAATTTAGTAACTCTTGTTTGTGTTTTAATTTAGAATAATTTTCGAAGCAAATTAACTATTCTTCACCCTTTTTCTCTCCTACACCCCTATTTCTCTCTCAGATGCAACCACTTTTAAGACCTGTAGCTGATTCTTCTAGTGTTTATTACCATATTTTAAAATAAAATTTTACACTAATTTCTTGAATTACCATTTTTAAATATTCGTTTCTTGTTTCTTTTTTAATTAACATAAATAAGTAAATTATTTACATTGTTCTAGTTTAGTTAAATCATAATTTTTTGTTAAATCAGTAATCATTGTCTACATTTTAACCATGTAGTGTCTGTGTAATTCAGAACCAAGTAGTGTACAGTATTTCTTTTTTTCAGACAGAGTCTCACTCTTGTTATCCCGGCTGGAGTGCAGTGGCACGATCTTGGCTTACTGCAGCCTCCACCTCCTGGATTCAAGTGATTTTCCCACCTCAGTCTCCTAAGTAGCTGTGATTACAGGCGCCTGCTACCATGCCTGGCTAATTTTTTGTTTTTTTAGTAGAGATGGGGTTTCACCATGTTGGCCAGGCTGGTCTTAAACTCCCAACCTAGGTGATCCACCCACCTTGGCCTCCCAAAGTGCTGGAATAGTATTTCATTTTTTGTGTACCTTGCCCTGCTGGAGTAAATTATTGCTTTTAAAAAAATCAATTGTGTAGTTTTCTATCTACATATCCTAAATTGTGCAGATATTCCCTCATATTAGCCATATACCTATCATGCATTTTTGTTTTTCCCATTGGATCCTGTACCTTCCTATTCAGTCTGGATTCATTCTCCAGGCCTTTTGCAGGCTTATTCTATCACATTTTAAAAAAAGAAATTTCCTCATTTATTTCATGGGGGTGCATGCTTTAGGAGATTCCTGAGAAAGGATGCATAATGAGTCCTGTCATGTCCAAAAACTTTTTCTACCCAGTCTTAACACTTTACTTTATTGTGTTCTAGCTTCATGGGTTACTGTTTTAAAATTCAATCCTTTTCTTTCTCCTAATCTTTCTTCTTTTTTTTTTTGAGACAGAGTTTCGCTCTTGTTATCCAGGCTGGAGTGCAATGGCGCGATCTCAGCTCACTGCAACCTCCGCCTCCTGGGTTCAGGCAATTCTCCTGCCTCAGCCTCCTGAGTAGCTGGGATTACAGGCACACGCCACCGTTCCCAGCTAATTTTTTGTATTTTTAGTAGAGACGGGGTTTCACCATGTTGACCAGCATGGTCTCTATCTCTTGACCTCGTGATCTACCCGCCTCGGCCTCCCAAAGTGCTGAGATTACAGGCTTGAGCCACCGTGCCTGGCCTTCTCCTAATGTTTCAAATGTAAATTGTTTTAATTTTGGAAGTTATTGGAGTTTCTTCTTTTTCCATTTTGTTCTGATTTCATAATGATGTGCCTTGGTGTAGACTTGTTTTTCTCTTTTTATAGAGACAGAGTCTTTCTGTGTCACCCAGGTGACAAAAGAGTACAGTGACAAAATCATAGATCACAGTAGCCACATAATCCTGGGCTCAAGCTGTCCTCCCACCTTCACCTTCCAGAGCTGCAATTACAGGAATGATCATTTTTTACTTATTATGCTAGGCATTATGTGGGCCCTTTTAAGCTAGAAGCCTCTATCCTTGGGGGCTTTTTGAAATAACTCTTATATTATTAAATATTTTCTTGAAAATTTTTTTGTCTTTTTCAGGAATTCCTATTAGTGGATCGTTAGTCTGCCTGGGTTCATCCTTTGTTCCTTTATCTTACCTGTTTTTTTTTATCATTTTGTTTTATTTTCCTTTGCAGGAGGTTTTCTCAACTTTATCTTCTAAGTCCATTTTTTTTTGAGATGGAGTCTCTTTTGCCCAGGCTAGAGTCCAATGGCACAATCTTGGCTCACTGCAGTCTTCACCTCCTGGGTTCTAGCGATTCTCCTGCCTCAGCCTCCCAAGTAGCTAGGATTAGAGATGCACACCACCATGCCTGGCTATTTTTTGTATTTTTTATTTTCCCAACTCCATTAGCTGTTCCAAGGAATATCTTTTGTGTTTCTATTACCAACGAGGTTTCACCATGTTGGCCAGGCTGGTCTCAAACACCTGACCTCAAGTGATCCACCCACCTCCACCTCCTGAAGGGCCAGGATTACAGGCCATGAACTAGCACTCTCAGGCAGGTGTCACATTTTTAATTTCTGAGTTTTTTGTTTGTTTTCTTACTGAATTTGTCTTTTAGCATACTGTTGTGTTTTTTTAATAGGCGGACTTTCTTAAGTGTAATTTTGAAGTTTTCTTTTGTTGCGTTAGCTCTGTTTTCTTCAGGTTCCTTATTGCTATTTGTTTTAGCTCTCTTTAATAGTCAAAGTCTTCTTTAGAAGGCAGGTGTCTACTCATATTTCCAAGTAAGATGCTAAAGAAATAATTAGAAATGCATTGCCTAGTGGGACTTGTCTACTGTATTTTGCCCTGCATGTATGTTCTTGACAAACTAACATTCTAGACATAGGGTAGAGCTGTAGGCAAGGATTAAATTATTCATTTTGTTGACTTTTGGTTAAGTGCTGTTTTTAACTTAAGGCCAAAACCTTACCTATTACTGTAACTTAAATCCTTAATTCCTGAGACTTTCCAGAAGTACACCACTTGGTTCTTACCTTGCTAAGTGAAAGGGAGAAAAGACTGACCACTGATGCATGAAGAAAGTAATTATCTATAGTCTAATTGGAAATTTGCTCTCTTGCTATTTGCTCTAAGTAGAATTAAATATAGGATGAATTTAAGGGCTAATTTTTGCTTGGGTCACTCAGACAACAAGACACCAGGATGTTACGTTTTCAAGATTCATATAAATAATTTTAGAATTATTTTATTGATAAAAATGTATCAATACCTGTGAAAAAGGAAAACAAGTGAATACATATAAAATTAGATATTTATGTTTGGATGCCGTATTGATTGCCAAGTTTGGTTAAAAAAAAAATTCCATTCTTAAATAAATAAATAAAACAAAACAAAAAATTCCCATTCTTAAATTACTAGCTTTCAGAAAGAAAATAATTTTTTAATTTTTACTGTAAATTTTGAATTTATATTAAAATCCAAACTAAATATTTTATAAATAATATCTTTTAATTGGAAAAAATCCCAGTGATATTTCTTGCTGCTTTGCCAGTTTGGGCCTCCATTTGTTAGAAACACCATCCAAATGTCTTGGTGTCCTTCACAAAGGAACTGTATAGAAGGACTATACTAGCCAATGCTTGAGCATAGTAAACAAGTTTTCTCTCCACATATTTCAGATTTGTCTTGTTTCTTGAGACTATTCTGCATTCGTTCTGAACTCCTTTGTAGACCAAAGAGGTCTAAATACATGAAAGATGAAAAGATAGGAAAGAGAAGGCGATCAGTCAGTTATGTGAAACTTTTTTTTTTTTGAAACAGAGTTTTGCTCTTTTACCCAGGCTGGAGTGCAATGGCACAATCTTGGCTCACCGCAACCTCTGCCTCCTGGATTCAAGCGATTCTCTTGCCTCAGCCTCCTGAGCAGCTGGGATTACAGGCATGCGCCACCATGCCCAGCTAATTTTTTGTATTTTTAGTAGAGACGGGGTTTCACCTTGTTGACCAGGATGGTCTCGATCTCTTGACCTCGCGATTCACCCGCCTTGGCCTCCCAAAGTGCTGGGATTACAGGCGTGAGCCACTGCGCCCAGCCCTATGTGAAACTTTTAGTTTTATATTGAAAATATTTTTGTATGGTAGAAATATAGAGATGTCCTTTTCCATTACAACTTGTCTGATATTTGTAAATGCTTGTTTCTTTTAGGAATCACAGTGCATTGATAACAAGTGTAGTCCCTGGGGACTATGATGGAGATTCACAAATGGATATCCTTCTTACGTATATTCCCAAAAATCATGCCAAGAGTGAATTAGGAGCTGTTATCTTCTGGGGACAAAATCAAACATTAGGTGAATTTGTTTTAAGAATTTTTAATGTTTATCATTGAATATGAAGGTAAATATAACAAAATATTGTTCTGAAATCAGTTCAAAAATACTGTTCTTGGGTGTCAGTAATTGTAAAACGTTTTTTCAAAGTTTATTTCCCGATTTTTCTTTTTCAACTCTGAACTGGACAGGGGTCAGTTCTATAGATAAAGTTCACTCTTACTGGCTTAAAGAGGACAGAGATTTATTAAAGGGTTTTAATGGCTTACAGAACAATTGGGATGGCTAAAGAATAAACTCTAGGTTGAGCTTTCAGGAGCAATCCCTGTATCATCCAAAAAGCTACCACCTCTTCCACCTATCAGAAGTGGCCAGTTACACAGCTGCTGCCAGAATGATGCTATGCTTGCAGTGATTCTCACTAGCAAAATGAATGCTGCACCTGGTCTCTTGATACTCCCAAATTCAATGAGCAGACAAAGATAGAAATAGCAGAGAAACAGCCTTTGCCTCATTCATGTCTTTAAGACTCACAGTGTATCTGATTGGCAAGGCTTAACTTTTATTCAGCATCTGAGATGCAAGGATATCTAGAAAGTGCTGTTTTTGGTTTCTAGTCTCCTCAGCACAGGAAAGCACAAAAAAGTTGAAGTATAGTTTGAGAGTCAGTCTATCATACCTAGTCACAAACCATCAAGCCTTGTCTGAAAAGCCAATTAGTTATGCCTAAATTAGGCAACTTTGTTCATGGAGCAAAATTTCAGTCATGTTCTCTGTACCATTTGTGAATGTAAACAGTAATCTCAATACATTATATTCATTGAGTCAATAAGTATTTACAGAAGGAGTACCATGTATAAAGCACTACTTGTATATAAGCATGGACATTTTAGAGCCAGGAGGTTTTGCATGTTGCCTTCTGTACATCAAAACCCTGTTGTCAGCCACTCTAGTACTGAATTGTGTAAAGACAAAGACTCAGTTGGGAAGTATTTACGTGCATACCTTAAAAGGAAATTATTGTAATGCTAGTCTTCACTATAGAATGTACTCTCCCAATATTTTGTCTTTGCAAGCTTGATGTTCATTCGAACTAGCTTTATGGTATCTCATTAATGATAATAGTTGGAATAAATCAGAGATAAATCTTGAAAAGAGTAGAATATTTTTTCCTAAGTGTAGATATCAAAAGTAATATAAAATGCGTGCTAATTTCTGTGTATCTGTATATCTTTTTGCAGATCCTAACAATATGACCGTACTCAATAGGACTTTTCAAGATGAGCCACTAATTATGGAGTAAGTATGTCCTTGCTTCCTTTGAAATGATTTTAAACTTAAACATAAAATCTTCACATAGGAAACTACTTTGCTAAGTAATATAAACACTAAATTCACTCAGAGACCTGTACCCTTGATTATATTGTATTTATTTGCCATTCAATAGGAAAAGGAAAAATGAGATTTATTATTTTGGAAAGAAGAAGAGATTTGTGTTTTTGTTTCGGTACCCTCAGATATGTCCATTATGGATCTATTATGTCATTACTGAAAGAGTTAAGATACCTGTTTTTGAGTAAAACTGTAATGCTTGATATGTAGGATACAGTTTCCTCCAGAAATTTAGAAAGATTCCTATATTAAGGAGAAATTTTTGTTCTTTTTATAATATAACTCCTCCTTTGCGTTATCATTTATATTCTCAGTATAGACTCGTATACCAGGATAATTTAAATCCAAATTTCTGACAGCATATTTTGGTAGAAGTAGAAATCATTCCTGGGACTAGAGCAAAGTTTGGCTATTCTTGTTTCCAGTACGGCATTTCTTACAGTTATTAAAGTCATGCCCATACAGCAATGTTTCAGTGGCCATTAGAAGTCTGAACAGTAAATCCATGGATTAATCTTCTTAATGGTGCTCAGCTAGATTTCTTTCATAGTTGTGTATTTTTTTCATTGTTGTTAAAATATTCAATGGCCAATATGAAGTTTTATACCAGCTAGGATTCTTTTTGTGAGTTATTTCTCCTAAACCCATGTAAATAAACAAGTTGGCCTGTAATTCTGAAATAAATTTCTAGGAATTAGTGCTGTATCCTTATCATTCAAGGATAGGTTAGATTATGCAAAGATTACAGACATACCCAAAATCTCACAAAAGAAATTTATTTCTTGCTCTCACTGTATATCCAATGTGGGTCAACAATAGGCTCTACCCTGTGCTGTTGCTTAGAATCAGGCCATCAGAGACTTACTGTTTTTGTAGCTGGTCCATCTGAATCACAAAGTCTTCTCATTCCCATGGCAAGCCTGGAGAGGGCTGGAGGGGCCAGTAACAAATTATGCCCTTTGGCCTAGAAGTGACACATGTCACGTGTGCTGACATTTGACCTACTACTTATCCCTAGATACTGGCGAGCATTGTAATGTCTACCGCAATTCCCAAAGTTACTGTTAAAGCTAAATTAGAAGTGGGAATTTAATGAAATAGCAGCTTATTGTTTTAATTTTTTTTCAGTTTCAATGGTGATCTAATTCCTGATATTTTTGGTATAACAAATGAATCCAACCAGCCACAAATACTATTAGGAGGGTGAGTAAATATGATGATAACCATGTAATTAATCGTATGTATTGCTGCTACTTTAACCACTGGAAAAAAAAATAGCTCATTGGAAATCTTTGTCATTAAAGATTTTTAAATGGGCATTTGGTCAATATATATAAGCTTTCTCGAATAGTTTGGATTTGGTCTGCAACTGCTTTCCAAGGGCCAGCTTAGTCCTTTTAACTCTTTGAACATTAGAGATTCAAACTTTACAGGTCCCCATTTAAATATAGGTTCGTTAATGTTTTTGAAATGGGTAGATTTCAAAAACAGTCTTCAGTGAATCCTCCCTACCTTAGTCATGTTAGCTTCTAGACTTTATTTGGTAAGATTTGTTTCTTCTTTCTGTTATTCGTTCAGTGAGCAGTCAGTAATGGCCTAGTAATATAAGCGTTCCACTAAGCTCTGGAAACTTGTCAGCGTATACTTTATTCTTCACCAGTATGTGTGCTAGGCCTCTCTTACTATCTAAGTGTGCAATTCTTAGGGAAAGCTGCTAGGTATGCTAGGCCTCTCTTATTACTAAGTGTGCAATTCTTAGGGAAAGCTGCCCGGAATCTCGAAATTCCAAGATATCCATTGTAATTACTCTGGATTTAAATAGAACAGGTCATATAGCACAAGAATTCATGATAGCAAGATACCTTCAACCTGGTTAATTTTTTTCTGTATCTGGTAAGGTTAAGTTTAGTTCAAGAAGAGCACAGAACAGGTTTATTTACTTTTTGGCTTTTTGAAAGTACAAAGGACTACTCTTATTAATCTGTCTTTCCCAGCTACTTGGAACTCTGGTGACTTTTCTCTTTATGTTTTATAGAAGTAGTTTTTTTTTATGATTCATTTTTGAAATGTGATTTAAAGGTATGCAGAGGAGTAAATTGTCAAAATTTAAGGTATGCTGAAGAGACACATTCACATTTCCTGTTACTTTTTCCAGTCTATGGCCATACCACCCTGAATGCGCCCAATCTTGTCTGATCTCAGAAGCTAAGTAGGATTGACCCTGGTTAGTACTTGGATGAGAGATCCCCCATTACTTTTTCTGTGGGTTGTTAATAAGGAATATGGGTACTTTGATGCTAGTAATAGTGAACTTTGAAAGAATTATTGTGAATCTGAATGAAAAACGTGTTTTCCTTCAAACTTTGAGAAATATCTTGAAGAAAGTCTTGCTTTAGAGACAAATTGGAAGGAGGTTCTGATTTGCTTTTGTGGCCAAATGGCGGAGGAATTGAGTGCAGGTAGGGTGTGGGGAAAACACAGGCCACTCCCCTCCATCACTCCCCTCCTTCTACAGCAAGTGGGGACTGCTTAGGAAACCCTGTCCTTTCTTTTCCTCTCTTCAAAGCAGATATGCGATTGAGAATGTGATGGTGACTTCTGGCCTGTTTTATTTCATGGTAATTTACACTTTAGTCAAGGAAATAATTGGAGTATCTTTAATCTGATGTAGTTTGACCTTTAGAAATTGAAAGTGAAACAGCTATTGTTGATAATTCATAAATATTAATAAAACTTCTAATACCTATACAGATTTTTTTGCTTAATCTGTGAGAAAACTATTTAGACTATTATGGGATAATGCTATACCTTCTTTATTTGTTCTTAATTCCATATTAGATTTTTTTCCCCATCTGTTTCATGAACAAGTTCAGCTTTTAAAACTCATTATGCCTGAAAACATGTCCAACTTTATTTTTTGTATGTTGTATTCTGGTCCAATATACTAGAGTAGTAATACTCTGGTATTTTAGGGTATCTGTCATTTGAACCTCAGTTACAGAGTAACCATATCTAAGTGGTAAGTTTGCATCTAATATTTGTCCTGATGCCAGTTTGAAGATATATAAACTGACAGAAATTTGCATTGTTTAGAATGATTGCAGCCTAATATCATGGTTCAGACAACAGAAAACTGTATATGCCCCTGTGGGAGCAAGCATTAATATGTTACTAAAATATGAAAAATATGTTTAAGCCATATCAGTTTCATAAACAACAGATAAGATACATGCATAGATGCAAAAGTGAAAAAGTCATTAGCATTGACATTTTGGATTATTCACATGACCTTGATTGGCAGCCTAATCTTACTTATCAAGAAATCTACTTTTTAGATACATGCATAGATGCAAAAGTGAAAAAGTCATTAGCATTGACATTTTGGCTTATTCACATGACCTTGATTGGCAACCTAATCTTATTTATCAAGAAATCTACTTTTTACAACTTAAATATTATGCCTTATGGCTATGTTCAACCCAAGATTATCTTTAATTGATTTGACCAGCACTTTAGTTTGGGCAACTCACAATGATCTTTAAAAAGAGTGTGAAATGCTTTTGTAGGATTATACCAGAAAGCCCTTGCTGTAGCCTGGCCTGGTGCAGACTTGCAAATCTCAGATAGCCCACAGGTAAAACCAGCATATCCAGTTTCCTGGAGTAAAGGTGCAGATGATCAGTCTAAGCAGCAGTGGTGATAAGCAGAAGAATTCCTTATAATTGGTATAGTGGCATTATCTAACAGGGACAGGAAGGGCTCTCACTGCATATAATGAGGTTCCGGAGATAACTGAAGTGTATTAAATCATCGAAGGTGAGACTTCAGTTTGAGCTTTAACTTCACTTATAAGGACCTGAAATAATGTAATAATGTGCCATACTACTTAGAAATAACACCTAGCTATTAAGTGTTACAGCAGCTTCTGCAGTGATGTGAGGTTATTGTCAATGAGCATTTTCTGTAAGAGGATACTGGAAACTGAGGTTGCATACTCATTCAGAATATTGTTTTTAATGTTGAAGTGAAAACACTTGTACCTGTAATTTTAGTCAAAACCAAATATAATGTTGGTCTGTTAAAATTGTCTGACTCCCATACTGAGTTCAGACACATTCTGGGTCAGGCCCAACTTTTATGCTTGGAGATATTAACGTAGGTATGTGACAGATAGATACTTTGCTGTACTGTGTTTACGTCACAAATGATCGCATGAAAATATTGAATGTAGTATAAGTAGCACTGAAAGCAACCATTCTTAACTGTTGTGTGGCTGTATTTTTCCCCTCCATTATAAAAAAAAAACTGTATTCTGTATTTAAATATAGTTGGCTACAGTCAATCCAGAAGAAATAAATTCCCGTTTTTCCATTTAGCCTCTCATATTTTCTCACATTATAACCAATGTCTGATTTATTAAATCACCCTTCATTTTTACTGTTGATTTTGTTTGCCGATGTATTACAGAAAATATTATAAATATTTGCTTTAATGAAATAATATGATATTATATCACTTTAATCTATGATTTAGTGAGAATATGAAAATTATGATGAGATTTATGACACAAAATAATACCAAATACTCAAGGCAGTTTTTGACTTTGCAATCAGCATTAATACTCATAACAGAAAAAGTTAACTTCGAGATAGATGATTTGTATTTTCTTCAGATTCCCTTGGCAGCACCTTCCCTCTCATCCCATACAACATTCATATTTTTAATACTGTTGCTAAAAGGAATCTATTAAAATCTGAGAGATCAGGTATTTTTTTAATCAGTATTTCCATGGAAACAGTACATCAGTTTTCTAACTTTTCTCTTTTCCTAAAGAAACTGTGCTATTAGAGATAAATTAATTTCTTTTCTCAGTGTTTCTCATACAAACCTTTTTCTTTTGAAAATTAAACTGCAGAAGTAGTGAAAAAATTTTTAGCAGATTACCTAAAATTTTATATGTGGTGATTATTTCAAATGGCATGTTCATTTCTTAAGGGTCTATAATTTTATTTCCTGTAGTCCCACCAGATGTGTTGGAGAGGTCAATTAAATTACCTCAGATTTCCTGGTGACTTTTCATACTGCTTTATTTTATGTTCTGATTGGTACTATTACATTTAAGTGAAATTATTTATTTCTAAGTAAATGGTTTTAAGATGTTCTCAAAATTTACTCACCTGGCTTTTAGTTAAATCTTACTAATTTTTATATGTGTATTTATAATTATTCAGAAAGATCAGCTTCTTTTGAGAAAAGCATAGTTTTATAGTTTCTATGCCAAAAAAAATTGATAGTAACTTTTTTTTTATTGGCATATATCAACACTTTGTTTCCTTATTTTGGGAGAAACCATTTTGCTTTATTTCATTACTTGTTAATACTTGTGTATGTATTGAAACTAGTATCAGGTACAGGCAGTGACTCAGGCCTGTAATCCCAACACTTTGGGAGGATGAGGCAAGAGGATCACCTGAGCCCAGGAATTCAAGACCAGCCTGAGCAACATAGGGAGACCCAGTCTCTACATATGAAAGACAAGAAAAATTTAATTGAGCATGGTGGTGCGCACTTGTGGTCCCAGCTGCTTGGGAGGCTAAGGTGAGAAGATTGTTGAGCCGGGGAGGTCGAGGCTGCAGTGAGCTGTGATTGCACCACTGCACTGTAGTCCGGGTGACAGAATGAGACCCTGTTTCAAAAGCAAAAGAAAAAAACACTAGTATGGCTAAACAAGGCATGTGTGTACCAGACTTTGAGTAAAATTAGTATATATTGCCATTTCAATTTAGGGTGAAATGAATCAGAATCATAATTTCTGAAAATATAGGTTAAGTTCTCTTTTATTAAATTCCAGTTGCATTTTTTCAAAGTGTATACGCTGTTGAAAATGCTTTACAAATACTTGATTTTTAACAGTCCAGAGGCCTAAACCCTTGAGTTCCAGTTCTTGAGTGAGTTTCACAGTAATCCTGAATGGAGATGTGCATCCAAGTATGGGGCATATACTTGTTTTCAGACTGCCTGTTTTTCTACTATATTTGTCTGTCCTAAGAATCAGTGCTGTCTCTTAGGTGTAGTCTTACTGTTGCACAGCCTAGGAAGGTAGGAATATTGGGACAAAGTATAATAAAAACATGACTGAAAGAAATCTTCATATATTCTCTTATGTAAGAAATCTTCATTTTCTCTTAGGTACGTGAGACATT